TATCCGTTAACATTAAAAAAAAAAAGATTGCAAGAATTTTTCTGCCAGAGGGTTTAATAGATAAAATAGAGGTTTGATTTTTTTTCCCCCTTAACTGGTCATTTCTGACATTTAGGTACTATGCAGAGAAAAAGTAGGAAAGGTAGTTTTTTACAAAATAAATTCTCAATATTTATGACTAAAAGTACTGAATAGATATAAAGAAAAATCTACATGTAAAACACAAAAATATTATCTATTGGTAACATCTTGTTAGATGTCAGCTATTTCTAGCGTTCGGGTTTCCCAAATCAGAAGAAATCATTTTTATTTCCAAAAAAGCAAAACAAATATAGAAAGTTAGAAGCGGCATTTGTATTCAGCAACTGCTCTGGCTTTGTGTACAGCTCACACAAGCATATGGGCCCTCAGGTGCAAACAGTCATAGAATTGACTCTGTCTTTTATATAACATGAAGGTGTGGAAAGCATGTTAATTTGGAGTAAAAGTGGACAATCTGATCAAATAAAAATATTAATAGATATATACATAAATTATAGTTATCAGTAAGTTAATCAAAGTAGATTTTACCCACTTTCTAAACACAATGATTTCTTTTAAAACATATTGTCTCTTAATTTTGGAATTTAAGTTACTTATGATTGTTCTGAAGTAAGCTCAGAGCTGATCCTTAGCTCCCTCCTGGGAAAGCATCAGCTGCGAGCTGCAAATGCTGGGTCAGTTTGTGCTCCTGACACAAATGCTTTAAATAGCTGAGGGAGATGCAGGGTGAGAGGCCGACGGCATCAAAAATCCTAGAAGCTTGGATGCTCTCAGGAGTCAAATGTCCTTGAAGTCACCCATTTTTTATAAGTGCACAGTAGAAACATTAGATTCCATCGTGAGATCAGTTGTTGGGAACTGCTTCTGCAGCACTCTTATTCTCCACTAGGATTTTTGGATTTAGGATTACAACTTCTGCCCTGGAAGCAATTTTTTTTTCTTATGCTAAATATCCCTATATATCACTCATCAGTATCACACTTTGGATGACTTGATAAGTCAAGAGAAAAATAACCCTTATGCATGCCTTGATGGACTGTAAGTTTTATATTATGTATAAACTGTCTCACTAATTTCCCATATTATTAATTTGCTATAAAATCTATATAAAACACAGTTCCCCATAGTATTTTTCCTGTGTAATTTCGTCCATTGTGTACTCTGAGAGAACTAAGAAATTAACTGTTCTGCAAAGGAGCAGCCCACTTTCTCTGCTAACCCTTGGCTTGAATAATGGGATTCCGGTATAGCCTGCAAATACTAAACGCTGCTCAGATACCTCCATGGAGAAAAGTGGATCAAATCCTCTGCAGAGTCTAATCCGGGAATATGCTGCTGTTCAAAATATACATAGGTTTGGAGAACAACTTGTGTTGAGTCTTAGAAGAGGTGTGAATAGATTAGTGGAGTTCTTTAGGGCCAGCAGGATCATTTACCACCCATCAAGCGGTTCTAAAAGTTTAGGTTAACAACTGCTCTGTTTAGATGAAAATAAAACATTGAAGACAGGAGCTAAGAGAAAAATGCCATGTTAGCGAAGCCCTAATGAAATGCCAAACATGGAAAATGTCATCCTGATAAGTGAAGGGTGGTGCTGGGGGAAACCAGAGAGCGCAGAGCAGGCAGCCAAGGGTCTCAGCGACCCCAGCCCTCCCCAGGCATGTCCTCAGCATGCAGCAATCAGAAGTGTCTGATTTAATCAGCAGTGGACCTAGCGACTGGGAATGTGTCTAATTCCTTTTTGAATCCATTCCTCTATGTAATAATTGTCATTGTGCTTTGCGTGAAAAAAATTGCTTTTTCTTTGTATAAGCTTGCAGCGTAATATTCCCCTTGGTTACTCCCCTTTAGAAGCGGTGAATGATTGCACCCTGTTTGCCATCTTCATTGCATTTGTGATATTATCACTCTGTGTCTCTCCATTGTGTCTTTTCCAGCTGCAGATACCTAGTTCGTGTAGTCTTCTTTTCTACAGAAGTGGTTTTCTGCTTCTGCTTGTCAAGCTGTTTTTCTCTGAAACTTTGCTAGTTCAACACTGTGCTTTTTGAGATGGAAACTTTCTGAGACAGAAACTGTTGCTAGAACTACCAACAATACTCAGACTGCAGGTGCACAATAATAGGGTAACAATAGTTTGTTGCTATTCTTTTCCAAACTCTTAAAATTCCATTTCCTGTTCTACTTGGGTGATGTTTTTAGAGAACTAGCTGCATTTTTTACAAGTTTCCTTTCCTGAGCTATAATCGTTAATTTGGGGCCCATCCCTGCTTCAGCTTAGTCAGGGTTACTTTTTCCCCACGTGCATCATTTTGCCTTATTTTACATGAGATTTTTGTCTGCCGCTTCACTCAGCTTACTAGGTACTGCCAGTTTTACAGCTCTTGCACACCAGTTTTAGATGTGACCTTTCTGAACTATAAAATTTCTTGATTAAAGAAGTTCACAATTCATATCTGCCTTTTGTTCCTTAGCTTCTACCTAATCAGTCCCATGTGAGAAGAGCTCCTTATCCCTCCCCATTAACTATTTCACCTCCAAAGGCTCTTAAAGTTTTAAAGTTTTCTAAAATACCAACAATCCTATTTCCATGAACAACCTGCACATCAAATAACCTGCATCCCACTGGAGTTGACTCATGCCTGAAAACAAATCCAACTAACCTTCCCTTCAGCCAATAAGCGTGGACTCAGGTGAGACTTTGTAGCTTAAGAGGAGACCCAGGGGCAGATCTCCACCAGGGAGAGCAAGCAGACACCAGAAGCTCCCTGGGATGTTACTGGGATGGACTTCCCCTCATAATACCTGGAAACATAGCACCTAGCTTCTGCTGAATTGCTGTGAGTTTCGTTAGTAAGTCACTGGGTTTACCCATGAAACTGTGGCATCATATACCGTCTCCTTTGCAAACTCTGGTAGGTACCTGAAACTCAGCCTCCTTCTACAAAAGCTTCCCACACCCCATTCTGCAGCGTAATATGGCAATGCATTGAACCTATGAAACCTCAGCGCAGGAGCGTTAAATCCTGGAAACCCAAAGTGCCGTAGAAAAGGTACCTTGACAGACATGAGTTTTGTCTGAAAGTCATCGACTGTTGCTGCTCTGCATTGCACAGGAGGTTGAAAGGGCTGCGGTGATATCGAAGCAATCAGAGCAGAAACCACCTTCAGGGATGCAAAGGCCTTGAGGCTTCGGAGGAGGAAAAAGGGGGGGAAAAGTTCCTCCTCCTTCTCCCCACCTCTCTTTTCTCTGGATCTGGAGGTGAATCACACTTTCATGGCCCTTCCATCTCCCGCTTTGGCTTTAGCAAGTTTTGTACAAAATGTGGCTATTCATATTTAGCTTGTTTTAGCATACCGAAAGGTTTTAGACACTGTGACATAAAGTGAGTGCTTATTTCCTGAGCAGCAGGACATTTCTGAAGTATGCTTATTGTGTCTGTATTACAAAAGCTATAATTTAATTTGTATTCTTGCCTAAACTATAACAGTAAAGAAGCATGCAGTTTGATTATGACTTGCACTTCAGAGTACTCACATTTTTAGCTCTCAGAAAATTAATTTTTAACACTGGGAACAACACTTTCGTCCATGCTATAAACAGAAATCACTTTGAGGTGTGTGTGTTGTGACTTCGTCTCAGTTGTGCAATAGGTGTTGTCATCACCACCTTTAGGGAATGTTTATCACAGGGCTGAGAAATTTGTTTTGTGGTGATAGAGTATTCTGAACATATATTCCATTAGCGGTTTGTTTTATATGAGCATTGGTAGTCTAGCTGTTTCCCCAGAACTGTTTAATTTATCTTTTCTTGTGCCTTTTCCAGTTCTCTTTAGATGTTAGAATTTTTAATATATTATGTTAAAGAAAAACAATTAAACAGCTTTTTTTAAACACCAATTGGATGTGGTTAGTGAGGCCTAGCAGCTTTGTGCTAGCTTTGCCAAGACTTAAGTGGGGAACTGGTAGGGGATACTCACACACCTTTGTGGTATTAATAGAATACAGAGTTAAGTTTAATTACAACAAGCATATTTAGGAGTAATAAAGAGAAAGAAAAAAAGCGCACTGTTTGGTGAGCCTAGATGGAGGGATGAGTGAGTCAGCTGTAGTAAATCCATTTAGAGAAAAACAGAGGAGAGCAGGGAATAAATGGTGAGAGAAAGATTACAAGTAATATTTAGAAAACTCACTGGGAAATGAGGGAAAAGACAGAATGAGAGAGCAGGAGAATGCATAGAGCATACGGGAAGATGGAGAACCACAAAGCGCAAAAAGAGAAGCAAAGTTGATTTGTAATGTTTGGAGAATGAACGTATGTGTACTATTTGCCGTACGTAAATGTGCCTATGCACTCCTCATAACTGCCTGTAATTTCACGCTGGCACATAGCTAAGTAGAAAGCTACACATCTCAATAAATCTCCAGTCTAATTTGCATTTATCAACTAACATGTTTGAAAGGAGGAGGAGAACAAGTTACTGAACCCTGGATATTCTCAGTAATAAATCTATTTATATATGAAGTAAATCATGCCTGCAGTGCTTCCACTGCAATATACAGATAAAGGAATCCTGTAAACTAGGAGGTGGGAGGCAGTCTGTGATTGCTGCTTATTGTGCAAATTTATCCCTTTCACTGTTGCAATGCCCTGTTCTTCTCCTGATCTGCTTACTATCTTGTTACGCACCAGGTTTGTAAGCCTGTTTGTAAGAACTGTGGACGGATTTTGGACTGCATATGTATATGCCGTGTATATACGCACATGTGAGTGCTGAATCTTTAATGAAACCTATACTGTGTTAATGCAAATGATATAGTGTCAGAACAACTGGTTAATGCACAAACTCCTTTTTAATTCACACAGAGCTTTCTTCCAAATGAGGCTATTTAATTTGTTTGTCAACATCATCATCACTTATTGCAGCATATGTTAACTGTGATTGTTCTTCCTTGTCTAGCTGTACCCCATAAAATAGGGCGGATAATTGATGGAAGTCCTGCTGATCGCTGTGCAAAACTTAAAGTCGGAGACCGGATCTTAGCTGTGAATGGCCAGTCTATTATTAACATGCCTCATGCAGATATTGTGAAACTAATTAAAGATGCAGGTCTCAGTGTCACACTTCGCATCATTCCTCAGGAGGGTAAGTCAATGGCCCTTAAAAACGAGAAGAAAATTTTAAGTAGCCTCCAATTAGCTTGAGTTATGTCTCCGCTTGAAAGTATGTCTTTTGTTTTGCATACTCAGCTGTAACATACAGTGCACAGAAATTACGGCCTTAGATCTAGTTAGAATAAAATCCAAATTCTTGAAACTATTTCTAGTTAGTTTTACTGTCTTTTGGAAGAATCATCTTCTGCATGGAAAAGCACCCGATGAGAGCTGCCTTTTATCGTGCATTGCCGTTATCCCACTCGAAACCAAACCCTTACCCAAAGTACTCCTGAGGGGCGCCAGTGCCATGACCGGGCACGTTCAGCTACCTGTGACAACAGAGTGATGCCGAGGAAGAGTTCTAGTTTGGTCATTTCCTCCACACTTATCACTGTAAGTGCACAAGGCAGGAAAGAACTGAACTCTAAAATATTTCATTCATAGAGTGAGGATAAGGGAAGAGATTTGTTACGCATTTGGGAGTCTCGGGGTCAGAAGCTTTTTTCTAGTTGGAGAGCTGCTATGCCAGTGTATAAATAGTACTGTGTTAATGAGACTGTTGCTTTATAGCTCAACAACAAATACCTATAGAGCTAGAAATGCCACATACAGCAAGTAGAGCAATTAATGATCCACGCTCAAGTTAGATGACCTCTACTTCCTGCTGCTGAATCCAGCAATTGGACAAGGAAATAGTATGACGCTGGCCGTGCACTGCAAATGAAAGAACTTACCTACTTTGTTAAATGAATTCAGTGAGCAAAAAACCACATAAACATACAGAAGTAGAACAGTTGTGCCCCATTCAGGAGATGCTCCTAAGCATTCTCCAAAGTGAGGATGAGATGTACACATCCAGTTTGGGCTGTTCTGAACTCAACCCAAGGAGCTGCAAAGGCAGTGGCATATAAATGCTGGAGGTCAGTTTTGCAAGCATCTACAAGCAAGGGTCACATTGCATCCGGTCCATGCAGCTTATTTAGGTCTCCCTTGTACATGGGATAATGCATATTAGCAAACTGCTAATAGTTCATTGTTAGAACTGGATACCTTAAATAAGAAAGAAAGCTGAGGTACCTCTGAGATGCAGCGCTACAAGGTGTTCTTGGGTGCTAGTGGCGAGAAACAATTTATGTCCAAGGCATGGCTTCCCTGTTGTCACACTGTGTGACACTGGCCACCTCATTTATCTTTGGATATTAGCTTCCCAATTTATAGAATTAGGGAAAAAAATCTAATAGCTCTGTAATATACTTTCAAGTGAAAAATACCATATAAATGCAAAGCAGTTTTAGAAGCAGCTTATGATTTGACTAGTTCATCCATAGTTATGAGAGTAACGTAGGCATGAGGAGCAACATTCCCAAACTCTGTCTGTGAAACTTTGCCATGTAGAAGAGGCTCACAGATGCAAAATGGGCAGTTCAAGACCTAAGCATGGTAATTACACAGACACTCACTGCTTATGCCTGCATGAGGACTGTGTTAAGTGCAAATATACAAGCTTTTTTGACAATTTAGCCTAAATTGAAAAGATTTTTAATAAAGTATCCAGAATTTTTTAAATAATTATGAACATAAATTAGACAATTAGAGAGACATTGCAAACATACAGTCATGGGGGCAAAGTTTTATGTTGAAAAATAAAATAATTACAAATTGAGACTAGATCCAAATAACAAAACTAGCTAAGATCTGGATCGCACCTACCTATTTCTCCTAGGGATACTTAGGCGCACTAATGTCCATTCTGGACACTTTGCACTGTGCCATAACTTCAGCTGCAAGCAGGAGTAAGAAAATACAACGTGCTCTCCTTTGTTGAGGCTAATGTGTGTGCGATCACTCGTGCAGCGCTCTGTCCTCTTGTGGGCAGGCTCCCTCGCACACACTTCTTCGCAGGTAAATGCTGAGCAACGTAACTCTGCCTGTTGGGAGAAACAAATTCAGTATAAGCTTAGACCTGAACGTATGTTTCCTAGAGCAGGAGGAAACCTGAAGGAAGATCAGCCTCCCTCCACAAGGCCACAAGGCCAAATTCCCTTCCCTAGTTTCTCAGTCTCTGAATTATATGTTGTTTAGGAAAGGGCCTTTACTTTTCTGTGGTGTTCCTATGCGAATCCCTTGTCATTTGGCACAATACTGTGAAATAAAGCATCAGTTTAGCTGGTTAGGCAGTATTTATTGAGATTGGTTTTACTGTTCACAATCCCCACGGATTTAAAAAAGAGAAGAAACTCTTGTTGAGCTCAAAGACAGCAGGAGCCAACACAAGCACAGCAGTGTTTTCGCTTCTGTGACAACAGTCTGTCATCCTATAATAGCCGTGAAAGCAATAAAATCATTCATTCTCTCAAAATGAAAATATCCAAATATCAATATTTCTAGGCTTTAAAAGAAACTATGAAACATGGAAGCCATTTCCCCTGTTCAATTGGGTTTTAAATAATGAAGGTGTCAACTGGAGTTAAAGAAGTGACCAAGATTTTGGATCTCAGTGAATATCAACAGGAGCCCATTAGGTTCAGATGTCTCAAAATCTAATTATAAGCCTAGATAGCAAAAGCGACAGAGCACAGATTTCCAGAGGGAGAGCGGGACCAAAAAAAGGATTATTGCCTACCTTTGCCCTTTATTAAATGCCGCGGCGTGACAGCTCTTTAATCTGCAGCTTCCCTTTCTGCAGAGCTGAACAGCCCGGCCTCGGCGCCCGGCTCGGAGAAGCAGAGCCCGCTGGCGCAGCAGCACAGCCCGCTGGCCCAGCAGC